TTTAACTCGCAAAATTTGTGCGATATCTTTTCAAAATCTTCAAGACTTACATAACTGTTGCATTAGAATTTTCATTCCTCATAATAGATTTGTTCTAACTGCAAAACATTTGTTTGATATCAAGGAAGCTCACATATAAGAACCAGTGATGAGTTTGTTCTTTTAAGGCTTGAAACTATGTTGAATAATTGGCGGATCACGTTAAGAAAAAATCATATGCAAGGGCATGTCACCTGAAGACCATAAGCACGAACATGTTGCTTCTCCCAGTTAATGCTTTTCCCAACTTGTTTGCTCGTTTGGGGCAAAAATTTGAAGACTTTGTTGTGCCAACTACAGTCAATCCGGGGCAATCACATCGAGATTTGATGAATCTCTCTAAGAGTTTGAAGACACCAGAGCATGGTGAATGCCAGGTCTTTTGTAAAATCCTCTTAAGACGATTTCTCCTCATCAACCATATACCTCGGGGAATTTTAGAGGTGAAGCTATTCGCAAGAATTGTCGTGCATCACGCATCTTATCAGCAGTAAACTTGGGGCATCCAAAATTTGTCCCTGGGGCAATCTAGATTTGTCAAGATATGTGATATGTATTGCACACATTATCAGAGGATGGTGTTCCCAGTATCTCCAGCTAAGCATAACTTTGTCCAGCTGAAGCATTGTTCGTGTTGTTATCCTTTCAATGGATTGTCTATAATAGAAGACTGGACTTTGGGTTTTCTACCTGAAAATATCTTCCTCTCCAAAGAGATTTAAGCTTTGTAAAAGGACTTTGCTCCAATGATGGCTTTTGTTTTCTATCTCCAGTAATGTTACCATCCTGTTGAGATTAGCCGAGTGTCGAGTTGTACTATGACGTCTTGTCATCTTCAGTCAATCTCCCCTGTCTGTTTTGTCAGCATATACATGACATTCATTTATTCATTCACACTTGCATCATGCATGCACAGTTGTATTTGTTGATGTCTTTGAGTACGTATACTTTGGTTATGTCTATTCAAATAGCATATTTGATCTTTCCAAATAGAGTGTCAACTTAAGCAGAAAGTGCGCCTCCCTTCTAATTCCCCACTGAGTTAACTCTCGTGGAAGAATCTTGGTTTAGCTTTCCTTTTCCATCTCTGGATAGGATAAATCCCCATTTGAGTTGTTTCCTCATTGGGTGGAGTCTTGTTTGACTATTTTCTCTCCAGTTTATTCCTGGATTGAGCTTTGTCTCTTGTGAACGATACCCTGTGGATCTCTCTAGGCTGTGAAACCTAGATGGAGAGCGCATTTATTTTGCAACGTAAATACTTGGTCTCCTCAAGAAGGATTTATTCATAGTTCCCCATTGAAGATGAACTTTATTCCCCAGCAGTGTTATCACAACCTTCTTCTGGAATATCGACATGACAACAAGCGACTGACTCTTTATTTGAGCAGTTTGGTTATTTCTGATTTCTTTATGACAAATGGCGGTCTCTTCATGAGCAGTTTGTCCATCCCCGATGAAATTATTGGTTCTCACCTCCAGCAATATCTTCACGATATTTTATGGGTATCTTTTTGGGAAACAGCAAGCGGCGGTCTCTTCATGAGCAACTTGTGTGTTATGGATACTCTTTACAAACAGCAAGCGGCAGTCTCTTCATGAGCAACTTGTGTGTTATGGATACTCTTGACAAACATCAAACGGCGGTCTCTTCATGAGCAACTTGTATGTTATTGTCACCTTTGAAAACAGCAAACGGCAGTCTCTTCATGGACAACTTGTATGTTATCAACACTTTTTGAAAACGGCAAGTGGCGGTCTCTTCATGAGCAGCTTGTACGGAAAACGGCAAGTGGCAGCTTCTTTATGAGCAACTTGTGGGTTTTTGGCAACAAGTGGCAGACTCTTCATGAGCAGCTTGTGTGCTTTAATATTCTTTGAAGACGGCAAGTGGCAGCTTCTTTATGAGCAGCTTGTGGGTTTCGGTAACAAGTGGCGGACTCTTCATGAGCAGCTTGTGTGCTTTGATATTCTTTGAAGACAGCAAGTGGCAGTTTCTTTATGAGCAGCTTGTGGGTTTTGGCAACAAGTGGCGGACTCTTCATGAGCAGCTTGTGTGCTTTAATATTCTTTGAAGACAGCAGGTGGCGGTCTCTTCACGAGCAACTTGTGTGTCATTGATACCTTTGAAAAACATCAAGCGGCAGTCTCTTCACGAGAAACTTGTATGTTGTTGATACCTTAGAGAAAACAGCAAGCGGCAACCTCTTCATGAGCAACTTGTATGTTATTGTCACCTTTTGAAAGATAGCAAGTGGCGGCCTCTTTATTTGAGCAGCTTGTGTATCCCCCAACAATAATGTCTACTTAGCAAATGGCATCCCTTCGAAAAAGTCCCGTGGGAAAGTTTGTTATTTTATCCTTTTCAAGCGATATCTTGGTTAAAGAAGAAATGTGTTACCGTTCTTGGTAAAATTCGGAAATCAGAGATGTTTATCTCCAGCCACAGTGCTGATGTCAATCATCTTGTTTTCCAGTCACAGTGCTGATGTCAATCATCTTGTTTTCCAGTCACAGTGTTGATGTCAATCATTTTGTTTTCCAGTCACAGTGCTGATGTCAATCATTTTGTTTTCCAGTCACAGTGCTGATGTCAATCATTTTGTTTTCCAGTCTTCGTACTGATGTAAATCATCTTTTTTCCAGTCTCAACACTGATGTAAAAGCATTCAAGAGTCTCTCATTTGAAGTCTATGACTTTGTTTCCCCAGTGGAGTTACAACCTCTTCCTCTCTGGGATTACTGTATAATGTGCTTGGTTTCTCCAGCATAGTCTGTCTCATATGGCGTCATTCCCCATAAAATTCAGAGCATTACATTCATATCATATCATGAACATAATCGCGGTATCTTAAGGCCAAAAATTGTGTATTCTATATTTAAGTCCCTTCAATCTCGTCGAAATGAAGATCTCAATCTTCATATCTCCAAATAGAAGAAACTTAAATAGGGGCAGCTGTTGTACCCCAATTTTTTACCTAAGATCCCATCTTCATTGGCATTTTTATTCAAAGAAATTAAGGGCACGAAATATGGCCGGTTTTAACCTCTCAAATTTCTCCACAACTTCCTCAGAGCACAATCAAGATTTCATCATCACTGGTTTACATGTGTATCAAGATGCTTTAGAATGCGAAGAAAGATCAGGCTATGTGAGATGATTTAAAGCACTTCGACCAAAAAAAAAAGCCAACTTTTTCAAGATCAAGTTCAAAGGATCATAAATTTCCAATATTTTGAGACAGTTCTTTTTGTATGTTGTCATATTATGCTTTGAAGGCTATGGAATTTTTTGAAACGTTATAGGTCATTTTCATAACCTAGAATATTCTTAACCTCCAAGCCAAAATTCATGCCATAATTGTTCTCTAAAGATATTGAATTTTATGATGAGTTTGTTCATGACACATGATGATGAGTTTAAGGATTCTTTAAATTGTTTGGCGCTTGTTTCAAGTCACTTGCATTTGAGCATAAGTGATTGTCAAATTATGATGAATTTTTTTTTACCAAGGCACTTAAGATACTATTTGTTCACTCAAGTACTAATGACAAGTTTGCAAATTTTCTTCAAGAGAAGTTCACAAAAGTCCATCAATTCTACAAGGACTATTTCTAAGGGAAAGTTCTTATTCAATTCAAGAATTTGATACAAACTTTAAAGAAAATTTCAAGATCATTGATTCAAGGATATTTGTCATGTTTAGTTCAAAAGTGGAGAATGCATCATGTTAATTTTTAGGCATATTTCAAGTTTGAAATTTCAAAAAAATCTCAAGACAAATCCATTCCAAACTCAAATGAAATATTTAAAGTTACATCCAAATTCAAGACTTGTTACAAATTTCATATCCCATTACAAATACTATAGCCACAAAATCACATGAAAAACATTGCAAATCCTGAAGCCTATTTTAAACTATCCTTCATCAATCTTCAAAATACCAAGTCTAAGTCTATGCTATTATTTTCAAGCCCGTTTTCCTTGCTTCATGATGCATCAAAATTGCTCCATAACTTGTACCAATGTTGTCCGTAAATCAGCTGCTCCAAATTCTGCATATCAGTCCAAACCTTGCTTCAAAATCATCCATACTGTATGCTGCTCCAAACTCTGCATGATCCATGTAGCAATGCTGTAAAAAACTGCATAATAATGCCAAAAAGCTCCTGTCAAACCTGTCCAAAAACAGTCTAAACTTTCATAAAAATAGGAAATGCAAATCCTGCATCAAAAAGGAAAAGCCAGCATATCACATTTTGTCCAAGACTCACAAATTTTCCCTCCAAAAAAATTCATTCTGAAGGGGGGAAAACAAAGTAAAAAACCTGTAGATATTTCTAATAACTCTCCTCCAAGTTTAGAACAAGCTTCAGAACATCACCTGCTGTCAAACAAAAATACAAAAACAAAAGAAAACAGTAATCTACTCTCTAACCTTTCTATTTATCTTCAATTTCTCCACAGCAAAAACTCTCATCCCTACCCTATCCTTCACTCATTTCAAAAGAGTGAAGAAATCTTATCTCTATAGAAACTATTGAAGAAACATAACATCAACAAAAAAAACTAGAAGGAAAAGATGCAGAAACAATTCAATCACATTACTCACACCCTCTTTTATCCTTTTCACACTTGAATAGTCAATATACACCTTCTCTTTTTTTCAGTTTTACTTGTTGAATCAGTTTTTCAAGAGGGTGTGAAAACCCTTGCCAAAAGTCCCACTTTTGCTTTTGCTAAGGATCCAAGACAACTACAGTTTGAAGTTGATCTTAATTGTTTGTTCTTCTATACAAGCTACAATCGATTGGGGAAGAATGCTAGTGAAACAGAGGCAGAAGAGATTATTGAAATAGCCAGCAAAGCCTCTGTTGCCGATCAACAAATGCTAGTACAAGAAATGTTCATTCTCAAATTAAAGCATTTTGCACATTAATGGATGAAATTCTTCTTACAAATGAAAAGACGAGGAATGACGGCTCGTTTGAGTTACTATCTCAACAAACAAATGTTTTTACCTCGAAATAGTGAGCTTAGTTCCGCCAATGGTTTCCTGAAACAAAGACCGATAAGTCAAGCTGAGCTTTCGCAGAAGTTGAAGGACGAACTTGGCTACACTCTCAATGTTAAACCCTTCTCAATCTCCCACACCGAGCAGCTCCATTTCCGCTCTCCACCTGTCCCTGTTCTACCCACGCGCGATAACCCCATCTAACATCAATCTTCCACCACTGTTAAACTGTAAACTGCTGGCATCAATTTATCAATCTGCATCCATCAAAACAATAACAGAAACGCACACGCGTAGAATCCATAGAAACAAATCGTAAAAATCTGAAGAGGAAGTAATTTCGAAGAAGAAGTGGAAGCGAGTTTACCTCTGATTTTGCAATCATCTTTGTTAATTTGAAGAAGGCACCAGACTTTCCTCTGGTAGGTAAGTATACTCCACGCTCTCCTTAGATAATTTGACTGTCTTGCTCAATTGATTGTGTCGAATATTTTCATCACTGCGTAATCTGAGTTGAGATGTTGAAACGAATCCACGGTGCACGATACTGAGAGCGAAGGATCGGAGTTGAAGTTGATACGAATCTGTTGAATGGAGCTGAAAGAGCGAGAAGATTCACGAGCGAAAAGTGAATAAAGGCGCGATGCTGATGATTCATCGGAGAACGTTGAGTTCGTCAGAATCGTGGTGATCTTGGATTGATTGAAACACATGAAATCAAATCGGGTATGTTATTCATCCTCGACGGAGTTTGCGCGAAGAAGAAGAAGTGAAACAAGGACTTGAGCGGCTGCACCTTTCCCAACACCTGCTAGGTTTTTCCATTTTATGGGCTTGACCCGAGCCCGATCCGGTCCACACCTAATGCCTCATTTATTTTTTTTTGGTTGTCTTGTTAGTTTTAATATTAGGCTTCAACTTTTGGCCCATCTGATTTCACATGTTATACCTCCCTTATTCCACTTTGTTCTTACCCAACTTATTTAATTTCTATGTTTTTATCTCTTTGTTTTAGCTATTTATTTTTATATTTAATTTTATTAATCATATTTAGTTTAATTAATCAATCAAATAATTAATTACCTCAATATTTAAATAATCATTTTTTTCCCTTTATTACATAAATTTTACAAATTAGTTTAGTTTTGAAATATAGCTTAGTAATCTTTGTGATTTTAACCTTGTTCTAATTAATCATTTTAACTTAAATTATTTATATTTTTATATATGATTTTTCTTTCTCTCTCTAATTTAGTTTCTTTGTCTATTGACCATTAATTGTTTGTTTGGATTTCTATTTTTCTCATAATATTTCTTTGGTTAAATAACTTTCCTTTTGATATTCATCTTATTATGCTGCCTTAAAACTCCAAGGGAAACGTTCTAACTTTGTTGACTTCATGTCATCAAACACATGTTATACGATTAAGCGAATACCCTCCTTCATCTTTGTTTTACTATTTTGTTAATCTTAAGTTAATTTTTTCTAAAAGACTCAATTTTAAAACGCATCCCCTTTTAAGTTAAAACTTCGATACTAGGTCGTCGTATCTTCAAAATCTCTCCAACACCGATTTTTAGCCAAACGAACCATTTTAATCAAACAAACAATTTTAAACCAAAAACAGATATTTCAAAAGGTTCCTGCGGAGTACCGCAGATGCATCGGGTGCTAATACCTTCCCATTGTATAACCAACCCCCGAACTCTCGATCTCTTTCAAAACACATTGTATTTTTATTATTTTTAAGTATTATTTTACATTGTATATTTTAGGGTTTTATTTCGCTCTTTTCCCTTTTCCCTTGGAAATAATAAAGCGCGGTGGCGACTCTTGCTTTTGTGAGTCAAGTTAATTAATAGCTTGATCTCTGATTTTCACCACTACAATATCATAGCCCTGAAACTGACCATGTCATTGGAGTTCATTTATATTACCTGAGTAGTGTTAATTTTAGTCTTGAACTTTCTGAAATATTTAGGTCAAAATTTGGTACCAATAAAATTCGTGTTCATCTTTGAGAGTTGGGTTAATTAGTTTACATATTTGGAAATGTGGTGAAATTTCTAACAAGTTTGATGTTTGCATTTTTTAGAATGATTGAGAAATGAGCAAGTTACAGAATTTAAAAATGTTGTTCATGGAAGCTGGCACGAGGAAGAAGATGACACAGGCCTAGGATGGATTTTCAAATATATATTTATGGTTTTGTATTAATAAACGGATGTATCACCACCCTAGTGGTTAAAGCGCGCGCATGTTACCTCTTGGACCTGGGTTCGAGCCCCAGCGTCCGTTTTGCATTCTTTCTATTGTTTTCACTTCCTTTTTTGTTTGAAACAGCGCTCCTTGGGCCTCCCTTGGACTGAGCCTTGCTCCTTTATTCAACAACACCCCCTGTTTGAAACAGGCTTTTGGGACTAAAAAAATCTGATTTTTCTTCCAAACCACTATTTTCACTTTCTTACCTCTTGGTATATACTTTTATTTTTCTATTTTATTTTTATTATTATTAATATTATTATTTTTATTAATAAAAAATACCAAAAATATTTTATATTTATTATTTATAATATTTAGTATTTTTTTTATTTCTTTTAAAGCAAAGAATTAAAAACATTTTATTAACAATTTATTTTTAATTAATTTAATTTAGATTATTTTTTAATTTTATTTTCTAATTTAATTAACTTAGAATTTATGAATTTTAATTAATCTCTTTCATTAGGTTTAATTAGGTTAACTTTAAAACCTTTTTCTTAAAACCCCCTAAAAAAATTCTTTCTTAACTAATCTAATTTCTTTTTTTTCTATTTAATTTATATTTAGTTCTTATTTAATCCACTTAGACTTAATTAATTATTTTCTCACTTTGTTAGTTTAATTAGGATAATATTAAGTCCTTTATACAAAAACTCAAATAAGAACAATTTCTTTTTCTTTGTATATAATCATACATCCTTGTATATTATTTGTTCATATTCAATATGGTTATAATAGTAAATTAGGGTTTATTTTCTTTCATCCCCTATTTGTAAATTTATACCCCCACCTTCAAATGATGTAATAGCGTAGAGTTTTACATTTCCACAATTTACCGCTTTCAATATAATTGCTAATAATTAGGGTTTGTATGGCAAAGACATAAAATCAACAAGTAGAAAACCCTAATTCAAGACAAAAATACATGAAAAACAAACACTTCTCACACTTGCACCTCTAGGACTAACCTCACTTGTTGCCTAATATAAAAATAGTCTTGTTACGTAAATGTGGGATACTTTAGCAAAAACAATCAAAAACAAGATCATAGTCCCTCGATGGCCCTTCAAATATTGTCTTCATAAATGATCTTAGACCCTCATAACAAATTGCTAAGGTATCCTACAATGTTATCTTCTATGATTGTACGATGACCCACGATTGTCCCTTCACATCCAATGATATGGTTTCTTACCAACTAATGGTAAGATAACATTATCTAAAGGAGGAGGAAAATAACTAAGACTTTTTGAATAGGTAAAACGCTCGTAGTTGCTTGCTCACAAATAAAACCATTTCCACACTCACACTTTCAAAACATCTTTCCAAAAACAAACATCCCTTTGAACTATTTTCGAAACCAACACTTTGTATACATTCTTATAAAGACAAGAATCATTACAAAGTTTTCCGAAATAAAGGTGTTTTCAAAATAATTTTAAACAAACATATTTACAAAGCATTTCAAAGTGAGCTAGAAACTAAGAGCCCGTAGATAACTACGGATGAAAAGGGTGCTAACACCTTCCCTTTTCATAACCTACCCCCCAAACTCAAGAAAATTCTCAAAAGGTCTTTCCTGTTCTTTTCACCCTTTCCTTTATTAGATAAAAAAATCGGTGGCGACTCTTGCTATCTGCAATAATTGCGATAAAACACAAAACACCCAAGTCAGTTCTCCCACCGTATTACAATAGGGATACTATTAGAAAAGTCCCTCGGTTAAAGTCATCATAAATATCATAGTCTCGCGATGTCCCTCGAAGTTTCCTACAAGAAATGATCTTGTCTCTCGATGTTGCCTACGAATATATGATGACAGTCTCTTCGAATTGCTAAGGTATCCCTATATGTTACTTTAAATGACCACAATGACGACCATACGCCTGTCCCTTAACATCCAATGGATGGGGCTACCAACCAACTAATGGTATGGATATCACCATCCCTAACAAAGAAGGAAAAGGATAACAAAATACCTTTCAGTTGGTAAGGTACCCTTAATTACTTGCTCACAAAGTAAAATAATTTTCACACTTCACACTTTCAAAACAACTACTTTCAAACGCTTTATAAACACTCTTGAGGGCTGATACAAGGGTTATTATAAAGCAGAATGCCTTACATCGACATTTTCAAAAACTTTTCAAAGCACACACAAAGTAAATTAAAGTGAGCTAAGCAATTAAGAGCCAGTAGATAACTACAGTTGAAAAGGGTGTTAACATCTTCCCTTTTCATAACTTACCCCCGAACTCAAAATCTTGAAAGGTCTTTCATGTTCTTTTCACCTTTCCTTATTGGATAAAAGAAAATTCGGTGGCGACTCTTGCTAACTGCAACATTTGCAATAAAACACAAAACTAAAAGTCAGTTCTCCCACTGTTTTATAGAACTGGCGACTTTGCTGGGGAGATGATTACAAAAAAGAGGGGTTACCTTAGAGCTTAGGATCACTTTAAATGCTTTCCTTGTTTGCTTTGTATGCTTTACATTTGGGTTGCTTGGGTTTATATCTTGCAAAGATCCTATACACAGATATGGGGATATTTTAGGTAAGTAGCAATAAATTATGGAAATTGTACGGTGTGGACCGATATGGTTGAAGTGATGGCTACGTTAGTGTGACACATTGGTTTGTACTTGTGTTCCTTGAGTCAGTCGAGGATAACACTAGGTTGTTGTGTGGTGTCATAAGCACTAACTGACCTTTAGAACCTTAATTAACCCAACTTAGCTATTAGAAAGTAGTGAGATGTCCGACTTTGGTGCAGTTCAAAGTTGGTTGATACTCTATGCTACGCTCATTGAAATTCGACTCTCGGGATATTTTGGTGGCAAGTCAGTTGTACTGCTGTAACAATGCCTGGGAGAAAAATAGGTGATATGAGACTCCTAGAACCCGGTTACTATTCTTAGGACAAGTTGAGGCAACTAAACT